GGTTAGTTTATAGAGACAAGTTTCATCCTATGACCAGAGGACATTTTCTAACTGTTGACTGTAAATATAAATATTCTTATTTTTATGACAGTAAGAAGAAATAATAAATATACTTTATTACTAGCTGAAGTCATCATTTTTCAACTAGCTAAAGTCTAAGTTACAGGCTGACTTCAGGTCTGGTTTAGATCATTGTTACTTATAAATTATATATTTTTCTGGTATAAATCTGCTGTTTTACATGATTGTTGAATGAAATTAACATAATCATTAATTTATTGCAAAAACATGATAATCTGTAAAACAGATCCGGTTCAGCTTGTTGTTTATCTATTAGTTTCTATGGAGGCTGTGAGCCGTTGCCCTTTGTGGTCTCTGTTTCTGCTCCTCCATGCTGACACAGACGCTACCAGTGGACGGTTTGGGCGGGGCTTAGTCTAGTGATCTATATATTTAAGTCTATGGTAGTATCGCTTTGTCTTCCCACAAACTGAACTGGAGGTTTAAAGGGTGTGAGAACGTGTGTCAGTGTGTATGATGGTGCACATCTATCATCTCTGGCATTCCAAGCATTTTCTTTTGGTCTCCCACCTGCTGCCCTAGACACAAAGCAGATTTAATCAAATGGACAGTCTGACCCACTCATGCAATCTGAAAACTAACTGTGGCAGGAATCCAGCCTTAATGTTTTGCTGCCCCACAGTGATTTCATTGTTAATTACAAGCTGGGAAAGCTTACATTTACAGCACTTGCGTAAAGTATGCTTTATCGTGTCGCTGATGCTTAAAATTGCAATTTTTCCAGTTAGAAATTCATTGACATTAAAGTTAACATGCACACATTACAGCCATTAGTATCTTTGGCAGTTCTTTTTCCAGCCATTCGGTTTAAGAAGTGCTCTTCAAGGTTGCCCAACATTTCCTGGCTGAAAACAGCCCAGAAATATCAAATGCAAGCAGAGCRAGCAAAAAGAAGGGTGAATGGAGGGAGGGGTGGTGGAAAAAGAAAAACAGTTTTGTAACACAGGACTCATTGACTGCACGGTGTTAATGTGTTTTAGAGTCTGAAAATGTTTATGTGTGTGATAACAGGACCTCTCTGTTAACCTTCGCACACCGCCCAGTTTTCAGCGTGGGATTGGTTTGGACAGCGTGTCAGTCAAATGTGACAGATTAGAGGAAAAGCTACAGAAATGCACATGAAGTCCTGCTGACAGACAGACAGATCTGGGTAAAAACTATATCGGTTGTGTGCTTTAATGATTATGTGTTTGCTCAATAGAAAAAAAGAAGAGTTTTTTTTATTTTTTTGAAGAAATCAAGCTCACTCACAAAATGAGTTCTGTTATTTTTAACCCTCAAACTCCAGTCAGTCAGCCAAAAATTCTTTTGCTCTATTTGGCAGTGTACGTGCACATTCACACACACAATACCAAACACACACACACACACACACACACACACACACACACACACACACACACACACACACTACCAAACACACACACAGTAATTATAAAGACAAGATGTGTGACGGCAAATTTTAATAAATGTTTTTGTTGTTGATGTTCATGTTTCATCCATCAGTTTAGATTTTTTGTTTTTAATCTCACAACTTGTTCATTAAAAACACGTGGGTTTTTTTTTCTTTTTATTTCTGTTTTGTTTGTTTGTTTTCTTTGGCTTTTTGTTTTGCAGAAGGCCTCAACTGACCCCTCAAAAAAGCTCAATAATTAAAATGTTTGTTTGAATGAGTTTGCACCAACTATTTTGTAAGACAAAGTCATGAGCCAGACATTTAAGTAATCTCAAGCAAATGAATATCAGACTTTTTGTCTGTCTTGCTGTTTCTGTCCACCAGGTGGCAGCAGAGGTTACTGTTGTGAGCAGGACTACATTATGTGCTGCTTTTACAGTTTGTTTGTTTTTTCTATACTTGTACTGAATTGTGGTTAATAAAAATTGAGTTAGTGTTCTCATTTTTCCTCTATTTTGATTTTACATCAGTGCCTTGATAAAACATTTGTACAACAAAAATTTAATTTTCTCACATGTTTCTATGTTTAAACGTAATGTTGAATACTTTATTTGTACAGATGCTGTAATCGGACATATATTTTGACTATTTTAACTCCTCATTTGTTATTTTTCTGTACATCATTAGCACCCAGTACTGTATAGTTGACTAAATAAATCTAATCTTCTGTAGGATTAKCCTTGACTGTAAACCTATTAGTCTATTGTTAGAGGGTTACTAAAGTGGAACAGCATGGGAATGAAAGGTGTTACTGCTTTTGGAAACCAGAGGTTCTTATTGAGGTCACCATGTGTGGAGAAAAAGGRCGTGAAAACAAAAAGAATGTATGAGAATCTCTCCAACAGGAAGGTGGTCAAGTTTTTATTTTATTATTTTTTTGTTTTGTTTTTGATAACATCAGATTAAAGTCAAGTTCACTGCATTAATGAAGGTCCTTGATCAATTCAATCAATATACTGTATTTTACTCATAAAACCTGAGAGCACTGAAAACATTGTTAGTGCTTTGAGAAGAAACTTTTTTAACCAATTATTAGTGAAACTTATTTTTACTTATTTTTTATTAAGGATTTTGTTTAAAATGAAATCATTTTTAGCTATTTTAATGACTTTGAACTGGTGATTCATGCTTTCATTACATCTCAAGCAGACTGTAGCTCTCTGTGTGTTGGTGTCCGCCAGGCCTGCCTCTCAYGGCTGCAGTTGTTTAAAAAGGTTGCAGATCGTCTTTACAAATGCAAACATAAAAAGTGTAAGCATGTCTTMCCAGTGCTGGCTTCCCTTCAGCTCAATATCTGTAAATTTGACTGAGTTGTAGCCATTTCTGAGCTGACTAATGGCAATTAGCTGTGGTGGCCATTTTGAATTGAACTGACACTAACCATTAGTTTCTCTAATATTTGCTTAATGTTTCAAAAACTGTATTGCTGGCAGACAGACAGGGTTGACTCCAACAGATTACATCAACAGGTCTTGTGTGATCAGTTTGCACTAGGATTATGTGTTAAGGATCAGTCTAAGCTGCTACCACATCATCCACATGAAATTTAAGCTCAAAATAAATAAAACTAACTTACTTATTCCTGTGTTTTATAAGATTGCTTATCTGTGCTGCCAGCATGAATGAAGTTGTCGTCACATGTTTGTCAGTTGTCAGTAAATTCAATGATTACTTTCTAAAAGTTTCATTGTAATCTRTCAAGTGGTTGATGAGATATTTTGCCAGCAATACAAACATGTGCACAAGTGGTGGGCACAGTTCCCCTAAAGCACTAAAGCACTAATAGGGGAACTAATTTCCTGGTTAGTACTTTAGGGCTTTTGCTAATTTTAAAATTTATTAGTGGATTAGCACTTCCTAAATTTATAGGCTAAATTTAGAAGCACTAACTGAGGTCTATAAATGTTGTTGTTAACAGCTGAGGGTGAAAGCTGTCACACATTTTGTTCATATGGTCACATATCCACCAGGTGACAATATATTAACAATATATGAACCCAAAAACAGCTGTGGAATGCCAATGATAAGTCTTCAGAGAGCAACATGGCAACATGTGACTCATGTTGTCTGTTGAAGAATGTTCATGGATTGACTGGCTTATTTTAGTACTTTAGAATTAGGTGACCTAAATATTTAAGTGTTTTAGGGCTAGAGGAACTAATTTTGAGATAAGTGCTGCCCACCAATGGTGTACACACACCTATACGCAGGCAAAAATATGATTGYCCCATATTAGCTAAACTGTCATGTGAAGTAATTTTCTCATTTGCACTAACAAATCAGTTGATGCCCAAAGGAAAAAAGTATTATACTGGAATATGCAGGATTGTGTGAGATTATCCTAAAATAGATAATATGAGTATTAACAATGAAAGACTGTGGTACTTTTGCAATTTAAATATAATGAGCCAAAGCTATCTCTACCAAATTACAGCAAACAGTTTTAATGATTCCAATTTTTACAGTTTTGCAGTCTGGTTGTAGGATTTCCTCTAAGTGAAATCTGGACCTTATTTAGTGCTTCAAGTAGGCTTGTCAYGTTCCACGTTTGTTGGAACTTGAACAAAAAAGTGCATAACACTAAATTACCAGGCTAGGTCTGCAAACCTAAAAACATCAACATTAAATGTGCTATCAAAGAGGAGGGATAATCAGAAAATAAATGCACCTTTTACAAACAGTAAAAGTGCCAGGTTGTACCACTTCCAGCGCTTGAAGAAACATTAAATTCAAACAAAGATAAGAGATCCTTAGGGAGGAGAAATTTAAATGAAGTATTATTTATGATGTATAACTATCTACAAGCATTTATGCACATGAGCCCTAATAAAAACCTACAGCAGGACTTCCACCCAATGRCAACCACTCTGCGACACTCCAGGCCTCATCTTGAACCTCACCAACATTTAGAGAATCACATCACAGCAGAACAAGCCTCTCTTTGTCATCATCAGYGTGGGGCCCCTCCATGATCAGTGAGGCTCAGCGGAGAGACGATGAAGTCCAGTGCTAATTTTTATTGTCTGTCTGTGCCATTATMTGCCTTAAAGAAGAGCAGTGGAGCATTTTATTGCAAAGGGCCTCTTCTTTGGAAAAAGGTTTCAATCAGGAGTTAGTTGTAGACAAAAGAATGATAACTACCTCCTAACGCTACAGTAAAGGGTTAATGCTGGCCTAAATTACAATMGTTACAGTAGTTCTTATGACTAAGCTTTTTAAAGATAATTAAAATTGACTGTAATTAGAGAAAATATGGTGAAAATATTTTCTGTATGTCACTTGTCAGACTAACCCTCTGGTCTAAGGGGGACGGGTGTTAAAATAGCTGGGGTATTGCCCCCTCTAGAGGAGTCAGCAGGTTAATTCCACAAGAAGAAAGGAGTGTGGAGGTGTTGGGGGGTGGAGACCTCAGCAGAGCAACAGATTGCAGGAGAAGAGGGGGGTCTTTATGAAGAGGGCAGAACAAGAAGAGAAAAGACAAGAAACAAGGRAGAGGGATTAAAAGGCCAAGTTGTTACGCCTGATTTACTTTAACCCCGCTACATGTCCTGGACTTMTTTCACACTCTGAAGGACTCTTCATGTGCCAGTAACCTGCTGCAGATGGAAACCAGGACCTGCTTGGCTTCGTTCTTTGCACAGGCTTAGTGTTTTACAGAGACGGATTGAAGAAGATTGTCACTGTCCAGCATAGAAAAGAGGATGGGAGTCATTCACCTCGGTCTTGTGGTCTTTTTTCTCCTCTCCTCTCCTGTGCATGCTCAGTTGTTGACTTGGTTATGGGCAAACCCTAAAAACACCACCGTTCCACCTGCTGTCACCTCTCCAGAGCCCTCTGCCACTCAGGAGACGGCGGCATCTTTTTTCCTCCTCTCCTCTCCTGTGCATGCTCAGTGGTGGACTTTGTTCTTTGCAAACCCTAAAACCACCACCGTTCCACCTGCTGTCACCTCTCCAACCATCACCTCTCCAGAGCCCTCTGCCACTCAGGAGACGGCGGCATCAGAGACTGAGGACAAAGTGTCAGTGAAATTCATGGAGGGCACTCAGTTGAAGGAGACTGTTCTGACCCTTACTGCATACGGCTCAGGGGTGTTAGTGTCTGCCCACAGCACTGTGGAACCTGGGACACCACCTCCAGGGGAGAACTCAGGTGGAGGCAACCAAAGCAAGTCAAAGTACAAACCACTGAAACAMTGGAAAAGTGGTGAGTCTCTCCAAGATGTGGCAGAATTGTATTTTTCCMCCCTTTCCATTTGGTGTTAGACCAAGTCAGAAATGGTTGGACAAATCCATGTAACTTTRCCAACTCAACATTTTCTATCTGTGTTCAGCAGGTCAGATTCATGGGTCTGGTAGAACTTCACCAAGCAGTCTTTAAACAAGATATTTTGTCCCAAATGTTCAGTACTTCGAGTTTTCCCAGGGTGTCTCATGAGGCTTGATTATTATTTCATGCTGGTATGTGACACAGTCCTCCCATCATGTGGCCGGTGCTAACTCTGTAGGAAATCTGCTGGGAGGAGGTCAGGCAGCTGGGAGCTTTTATGTGGCATGTCGGGGTCAAATTGGATTAGAAGGTTAGAGACATTGAGGGGGTTCATAATACAGGTTTTATAGCTCTCAACAAGCCAATTGAGCATTCATGTGGTCGACATGACATGGATTAACTACAGGAAGGAGGAGAGAAGGAGACCCCCTGATCTCTAATTAGGCTGGTGAGAGACAGGGCTACTTGGTTTGAAGGGAATGGTGAATCGAACTGACTTGATGATTATCAAGAACTGTTTTATTGACCTGAGCTCATCAGTGGTTGACATTTTGTCTAAGGAATAAGTGTTATGACGTGTTATGGACTATTTTTGTAATTTTTWAAAAATATATACCAGTAAAGTTTTCTTCACACTTGACAATCTCTTTATGACACAAAAAACATCATCCAGATAGTGAGTGTTCCTTACAAGGACACGTTGGGCACTCCATTTAGTGTGATAAAGTTTAATGGGTGATTAGGTTTTGGGGTTTTACCATCTCAAAACTTTTGTCATTAGGTSCTGGTGGCTAATCCTTGGTGGAGTATGTGGAGGTGTGGTGGCAGCCTACGAAGTGAAGTGGAGGAGTGGCATAGATTAATAGGCTACCGTGATCCTGACAAAGTCATGTTAACACCTATCATATGTCATACCAGCGATGGTAGTGTACATGAGCCTCTAATTCAGGGGTGTCAAACTCATTTTTACCGAGGGCAACATGCGCATTATGGTTGCCCTCAAAGTTGTAATAATCTTAGATGACTTATGTTTAACTGACTAAAAAATGAAACGTCACATTCCTTGTCTAATTGCTACAGCTAAGCACTGCTAACAAATAATAACTGAGATGTACATGGCAAGTTGTGCATAACAAAAGCATTTGATACATCCTCTTATAAAATGAAAAGTWTGAACAACTGACTAAATGAAAAATAAATAATACGAAAATTTTATTAAATGCATGAGAGTCTAACTCACTGTTGAGTTCTTGTGAGTAGCCACCATCTTGAATTCTGAACTGAGAGTTGTAGTTTTCTCACTTTTTGACAAGGAATTGTCACTGGAGGGGTGTTCCAGAAAAAGAATTATGACTTGTAAGTAGGAAATTCCCATTTCCCAGTACAACYGGGCCACAGCAAAGGTAGCTGTAGAATTTTAGCTGGCTGCAGGCTACTTTTGAATCCCGTGCACCTCCACCTGGTGGTGGGATGTCGTCATTTTGCAAGGTGAGGACATCTCAAGGGTGCAGAAAACTTCCTAACAGGTGCTAACATGAGAGAAGAGTCATGACGCCTCCACAACGAAGGAGGTTTTATAAATTTGTTATGATCCCTCCACTCTTTAAAAGGACATGGAGATCATAACAGGGTCATTGTTCTTTGTGAAAGGGGCAAAATGAATGAAGAGTGTTGGTGGAAGCTATTTTCTGACTGTCTTTAGAACAGGATGGATCCTTTCATCTTTAGGATACAGATCATACCATGCACTTACATTTTTGTGTGCATGCATATCAGTTTGTGGTTTTTTTATTTTAGTTTGGCATTAAAAAATAGAACTCAAGGGTTTATTTGATTTTAGTACTTTTTCAGTCTGATAAATAGAGATGAATATAAATCCACATAGCTCCATGTAGGCCTGTAGGAGTGCAGGACAACAATGAAGACATGAGACTGAAAGAGCACTCTGAGATAAAGAGGATCAGAGATGTGGGAAGACGAGTGGAGCAAAGCTGACAAAAGCTGAGTGTCCCACCTTCTATCAGCTACAGGTCGAGATAAGCAAAGAGCTACAATCAGAGGGWCATGAAGATAGATTCATGCCGGTCRGTGCAAAAACAAATACAACTGTTCAATTCAAGCCCGGAGTAAAAATATTAAGTTTATTTTTGTGAAACTAACGTGACTAAAAAGAGGTGAGGGTCAGTTTTTTCCTTGTGAACTGATTTTTACTGGACAGTAAAAGCGGTRACAGTGAGGATTTCTAAGTAATAATATCTATTTTTTTAACATTGTTTAGAATAAAAGTACAGTTTAACCAGACCTACAAGACATAGGTAGATCATTTTTCTATAGTTTTGTTAAATGGGATTGTGTAAAATTATTTTTGTCAGTTTGTTACAGAAAGACAAAGGATTTGAAGCACAACAAATAAAAATAATCTTCATAGCTCATTCAGTCACATTAGGTCAATAGTTCATGCTTACACTGACTTTGTTTTTGATTTAAYAAGGTTCTCAGAGAAATTTCAGAAATTTTAGCTGCTTATACTGTATATTGCTTTAACCATTTATCATAATTAATTGGTGCTGTTTCTTTGATTTTTTTTGACGTAAGTAAATTTTGTCATTAAAAAGTTGTATTTCTTTTCTATTTCTGCAAAACAATGCTAAAACCATCAATACAGCTAAACCAAGAGAAGCTAATCTAGTTAGCCGCTAGCTGGACTCATTCCAACAGGTAAATTAGAAACATGCCAGTTAAAATATGTATATATATACTGTACATTCTCATGTTACTTTAATTTACGGAAGCTAGAGGGCGTTTCCCGCATGTATTTCTTCCCATGGTTTTCTGGTGTTTATGTCATGTTTTCAACAGGATCTTGTAAGTGAGATATTTCTAGACCTGTGACTTTGTCTCTCCTTTTTRTTCTTCCTTGGCCATCCTGCAACACCAACATGTCTTCAGATGGCTCACTTCCAAAGTTATGTGATGTCTATAAAAAGGTTTCTGCTGCCAAGTCAGTGTCAGATAAATGCCAAACAGTGAGACCACCCATGACTTCAGATCATTTCAGTGCAGGAACAAAGTGAAATCTCTGCAGTCAGGCTCAGCGTACATGTTGTAACTTTACTCACCTTAAGGCTGACTTCATCTGTTTCTTCATTACAGAAGTAAAACGGTCCTGCACATCTGGACTGGAGGTGGAAGAGCTTTGGTCTGTTTGTATTTATTCGTGTGTACTTTTCTTTGCCCACCCTCCCACCTCTAAGTTTGCAACAATAAACTTGAACATGTACAAAAGTGCATGGTGAGTGAGTGGTGCTCAGAAACACACACTCAACTCAACCCTCTAATAATATGTCTCCAGTTGGCCAAACTGATGAATTAGAGACCCCCAAATGTTGACCTGTCTGCTCTGGTCTGGTCTGGGTTTTGTATGTGTTTGTGTGTTTTGGTCCGTTTGATGTGTGCCAAAGGTGGGTTTTGTGCACATGTGAGTGTTTGTGCTTCTGACTGAAACATAGCTTGTTACGGTAGGAAAGCTGCGAGTTTTTCACTACGGGAGATGRGTTCCACAGAAGAGAGAATCAAGAAAATGTGAAGCCATCTCTTCACCAGCGCACTAAATACTCTAATTGCCATCCACCGGGTCCGCATTTCTCTTTTGGAGGATTATGTCCAAACGAGGCAAAGCAGTGAGGCGTGGGCGACAGTCTGGATCAGATCAACCCAAATTAAAGCCAGGTCAAGATGATTAACACATCTCTCTCATCTTTCTTTTAAACTGGGGGATGGATCTGAAACACAAGGAGTAGCAAACAGGGAGCTAAAACATCTGCCTGAGATGTCATTAAAGCAATTTCAGAAATCTAGAACTGATTTAAACTGCTGATTAATACTAAATATTTCAGGTTTAATCAAATTTCTTGAAGGAATGCATTTCACTTAGAGTAGTGGTCTCTTCAACCACATCTCAAAAACKARTGAYGTGTGGATGAATACCTCAACTTTATTCTCTAATCGATACTAAAATCAAAATATTGATACTTTGATGCTTCAGTCATTTCAGGTAAYATATATCACTAGACATGGGTTTTTACGAYGTAAAAACAAGTGTGCATTGCTTTGCCTGCAGCAGTGGACTTGCAGAAAGAAATGTGACCAAGTTCAAATGTGTTTTCTACCAGCTTGTGCCTGTCAAGTCAGCAGGTKTCTGGAATGAGCGTAATTGTGTAACAATATGAAGTTTGTAGAGATTTTTTGTTAAAGTTGCTGTAGCTGGGTTTTGAACCCTGATCTCCCAGATGAAAGCCCATAGAGTTAACCATGAGACCATTAGAGCTGGGGCAGAGAGCACTGCCAGGGTTTGGTTTGTATGTGTGCAGAAAGAGGCCACATTGCCAGTGCAATTGCTGACACTAAACTGCAATATATTACAGCAATAGAGTAACATTAGGACAATATTATAGCAAAACATCAAAATACAATCATATTAGTATTGTAACCACTGAACTATTGAGATTAAATATTATTAAACAATGTTTCAGAACTGAGTATATACAGCAGGGGGCAGTATTGGACCAATACAAGGCTCCATTGACTCTCATTGTGAATTATTAAACATTGATATTTCAAAAACTATAAGTTGTACAGGCACCAAAAGGCATAGCCATAATTTGGCACAGGAGCTTTACAGATATAAATTACAATGGCAGCTCTAGGACAAAGTATGCAGGAGGAGAAGCGTGCCAAAGTGGAGATGACTTGGATGGGAAACAAATCACAATAGTGTGCATTGCATTGGCAATGCACACAGATGAACAGGAACACAGTGGAACTAAACCTTTAAAATTGTATCTAAATCATACATGATTGGAGGGAACTATTTTTCTTCCACTTGGGTAATACGTAAGTGCAGTGGCACATAGTTGCAGTCTGTAGACGTTATATGTTCAGTATTTTCATGCTAATATGTTCATGTAAAGTAAATTAATTACTTACTATTTTTTTATTTTCATAATAGTTTTTGATAATTAAACAATAGTTTATTTTAAATTGGTTTAAATTGAAGACCCTCTTTGACACAGTTGTGGCTTCAGCCATCTTTTATGGCGTTGTATGTTGGAGCAGAAGCTTATCTACAGCTGAGAGGAAGCGACTGGATAAGCTCATCAGGAAGGCCAGCTCTGTGCTGGGATGCCCCCTCGACCCAATGCAGGTGGTCGGAGACAGGAGGACTCTGGCTAAAATAACATTAATGACAGAGAACGTCTCCCACCCCATGCATGGAACTGTTGCTGAGCTACAGAGCTCCTTCAGTGACAGACTGCTGCATCCTGAATACACACAGGAGCGTTACCACAGATCATTCCTCCCAGCAGCTGTTAGACTCTACAATCAGCACTGCTCCCAACAAACTCAATAAGTATTCATGCTTGTTTGTACAGTTACCATCAGTGTTTCTCAGTCAGTACCTAAATAACAATCTTGTGGCTATTGCACATCCATTTGTCTCTACTGTAACACTAACTGTAAGTATCTGCCATTTACAATATTTAGTACACATGTGCATTGTTATGTACACTACTGGAAAATCCTTAATTTGACTCAACTGTACACTTCGTTGTAATTTACCTGCACCTCATTGTAATTTTCTTGCACAGTATCACCTTTTTTTATTGCCATGTACAGTAATTTGTTTATTTATATTTAAATTTCATTTTAAAAGAGACAACGTACAGTATGTTGTGACTTGGCGCTATACAAATAAACTTAAATTTTTTATTGTTATTTCTATTCTATTACCACTACTACCACTGCTATTGGTTCATAGCAATATGT